TTTTATTTAAAATTATTCCTTTCCCGCACTGAAACCGAGTATTTTAATACTTTCGGGCGAAAGAACTACAGTAAGTAAAGTTTTAAATAAATAAAAATAACATCCACTAGATGGAAGCATAACACTTTCTTACAAAAAATTTTTTATTATATTTTTCAGAAAAAAAAGATTATTTTATTTTATTATTTTAATGATGGATGCTGAGTGCGTCGTTTTGGACTTCGTGACTTAATTGAGTCTGCAAATTAGATAATTTATTCTTCAGAGCTGCTATTCCCATCATGACGATATTCTCCGGCTTCAGGGCTCCGCTGCTTTCGACGTTAAAGAAATATTTATTCGGCTTGGCTTCCCAGTTGAATGGAGCTTCGACTATAATTAATTTTATTAATTAAAAATATTGTATTTTTTATAGAAAAAATTCAAAAATGATACTGAAATTAGCAGACAATTTTTTGATTTTATTTAAAAAATAAATTTAATAAAAAGATATTTTTTTAAAATTGCATTAATTAATTTCTTAAATTTATGCGTGTAAAATTTTTTTTCTGAGAAATTATTTGGTAAAAAAATAAACAAATCAATAATAATAAAAAAAATGCTTTTAAAAATTTCCTCTAATTATTTTTCTTTAATTTTTATGTTTGAAATTTTTTTTTAATAATTTAATTGTTAAACTATTATTTATAAAAAAATTTCTAATGTCTGTTAATTTCAGTGTTAATAAAAAAAAAACTTACACTGATCTTCCTCAAGTTCACTGTACTCAGATTTAGGCCATTCGCTAGGAATCGGATACAAAGTATGACGCATTGAATTATCTGGATCATATTCAAAACAAACTCCAGCAGTAGGGTTCCATTTAGCGTGTTCTTTACCAAATCCTTTTTTAGCGTAAGCTCTTAATTTCAATTCTTGTCCTTTTCTTAATTTTACTATCAAGATTTCTGTAGCAAAAATTCATTAATTAAATTAATTTAAATAATATCAATATTAAATAAATTTTTATCAATTATAATTACCATCTGTTTCTCCATACTCATTAGCGTCATCCTCACGGTGCTTAGAAGTAACCGGCATGACCCTGGGATCACTGGACTTCAAATCAGCTGTCGTTACATGCCGGGTGGAATCCTCAGTGCACTTGACGTCTAAAGTAAATTCCACGCTGCACTCCGGGCAGAAATCCTGACAGGAGCAATCTCGGGTGTACTGGAGTTTGTCAACAACCTCGTCGCTGATCAAAGGTATCATGCCGATACGGTGAGCGAGGAACTCGTCACTAAGGACAGTTGAGTTTGCCTCCAGTTGGATCCAGTCAATGGCCAATGTTGGTGTTTCCGCGATAAATACTCGGCGCATGCTATTTGCAACACTGAAAATTAATAATTACAATTAATAAAATTATTTGTTTATAAATAATTATAATAAATAATAATATAAGGATAAAATTAGTAGATTTGGGCAATTTTTTGATTTTTCTTAACAAATAAAATTATTTTTAAAAAATTGATTAACTTTAGAGATATTTGATAATTTTAAGAATTTTTCTAACAAATACGTTCTAAAAAAAAAAAAAAAAAAAAAAAAAATAAAAATGAAATTTTTAAGGTAAAAATTTAAATAAAATTAACAAATAGTCAAGTGACTGCTAACTTTAATGACACAAAAAGTGTATTATTATTTTTTTTAGATTTGTTAAAGATGAAATAAAAAAAATGTTTTTTTTTTTTTTCATGACATTAATTTGTTAAAAAAATAATAAAAATAATCAATTGTCTTAATATTTGTATCAAAAAATAATTAAAATAAATTCTAACCTGAGTTCTGTATCCTCCACTTGAAATTTGACATTTTCTTCGGTCAAATCCGAAATATGCACTGAAGGTTGATTAGCGTACGGCATTATAACTTTATTTTTATTACTTTAATTATTAAAAAAAATTTAATTATATTTATTTATTATCTTGACAATTGTCTACTTGTTTTGACTCCAAAATCCTGAAATTTTTTTATCCTAATTCTGGCGCCTCTGGTGGATTGAACTAGTACTAAAGTCTCGCGGTTTTATTTAAAAATAAATTCAGTAATCACATAATCCTATAATAAAATTGAGATGAAATGTATAAATTAGGGATTTTTTTTTTTTTTTTTTTTTTTAATTAAAAAAGTAATATAAAATACAAGGCGTTGGTTTAACCAATGTAGCCAAATAAATTAGGGACTAGTATACGTTGCGCGCGCAAGCGCGCGTGTGAATGTTGGTATGGAATTATCTATATTTTCATGCTTATGATATGTTTGACCAATCACGTTACGAATAAAATGTCTTCATCAATGTATATTTTCATATTTTTCATCTAAATTATAAGAGTGGATTGAGAAAGATGACCTTGACGCCACCTGCCGAGAAAAATGTAAAACAAAGTGGTTGCTAGTACAAAATATAAAGGTTTTACCCACGTGGTTACATTATTTTCTGTACTCCTTAATTTTTTATAAATATTTATAAATATGGCTAAGTTTGGTCTAAGTAAGTATTATTAAAAATATGCAATAACGTGTAAGAAGTAATTACTATTATGAAACTGAAATTAACAGACATCTGATAATTTTAAAGATTTTTTTTTAATGGAAAAAAATTCCACTGATTGAATTTGTGGTAAAATAGAAATGCCAATTGGTCAGATTGTTTATTTAGGGCAAATTTATTTGTTAATAAAAAAAAAACTCTAAAATTATTATATGTCTCCTTTTTTAGTATTACTGGCTATTGACGTGTTTATCATCACGATGTTTTTACAGACATGGATGTCGCACTTTCCTTTACCGCGTTGCAAAAATATAAATTATATATGTGTCTATAAAAATATTTGTATTGGTGGTAGTAGGTCAATAATAGTAATAAATGTAAAAAATGATAATTTTATTTTTTTTTTTTTTAGAAAAACAAAGCAAAAGAATGTCAGCTTGTAAAAAGAATAAAATTGAAAAAAAGGTTCGCGAGCACAACAGAAAAGTTGGTAAAGAGAAAAAAAAACATCCTGAAGGTTAGTAAATTTCTTATAACTAAATGAGAATTTTGTTAAAAGACATTGAAATTAGCGGACACATGATTATTTTTTTTTTTTTTGTAATAGTATCCGTCTTGTAAGTTAGTGCTACAATATTTTTAAAAAAGTTAAATTGCACTCATAATTTTTTTTAATTTCTATATGTGAAATTTTTCTGATAAAAATTTATCTGTTAAAAAAATCCTAAAAAAATTTTAAATGTCTGTGCACTTGAGCAATTTTTCTTTTTTTTTTTTATATTTATGCTAAAGTCAATTTTTATTTTTTTTTATTTTACAGGAAAAAAAAAAATTACCCAAATTACGAATCAATGTCCATTCAAAGAAGATATTCTCAAAGAAGCCGAAGCCTTAAGGAAGCAAAAAGAAGAAGAAAAACAGAAACGTCGCGAAGAAATGCTAGCTGAAAAACGTAAAAAACTAGCTGGTGGTATTGAAAGTCTTGTAGAAAATGCAGCAAACAAATTAGAAGAACATGAGTCAACTACTAATTCTAAGACTTGTCAATCATCATTTCAAACGATGAAAGACGAAAATTCTTTGAAGACGTATTTTAAGATATTTCAAAAAGTGGTAGACTCAGCTGATGTTATTTTGGAAGTTGTTGACGCGAGAGATCCTCTGGGAACTCGATGTGAACAAGTAGAAAATGCAGTAAATTCGTCGAAAAGCATGAAAAAATTGGTGTTAGTCTTAAATAAAGCAGATTTGGTCCCTAGAAAAAATCTTGATCAGTGGCTTAAATATCTTCGGGGTAGTTTACCGGCTGTTGCTTTTAAAGCTTCAACTCAAGACCAATCGAGAAACTTGGGTCATAGAAAATTGGCTTCTAAAAACGAATCCATGATTCAGAATAGTGCTTGCTATGGTGCTGAATTAATAATGAAATTATTAGGGAATTACTGTCGGGATCTCAATGGAGTTAAAAAAAGTATAACTGTGGGTATTGTCGGCTTACCTAATGTTGGGAAATCAAGTGTTATTAATTCATTAAAACGAAATAAGGTTTGTAATGTAGGTAATCTTCCAGGAATTACCAAGAGTATGCAGATTGTTCAGTTAGATTCAAAAATCAAGTTACTCGATTCACCGGGAATCGTATTTGCTGAATCCAACCAAAATGAAGATTATAATAGCTCATTAGCACTTAAAAATGCTATCAAAATACAATCTTTAAAAGACCCAATAACTCCAGCTTCTATAATACTAAAACGTATAAAACGACCAGATGTGATGGAACTTTATGGCATAGGAAATTATTTTACACCTGAAGAGTTTTTTGCCATCAAAGCCAAACGGATGGGTATGCTGAAAAAGAAAGGAATTCCTGATTCGGTTGCAGCAGCTTGCAGTCTTTTAAATGATTGGAATTCGGGAAAGATAAAGTAAGTCAATTTATTTTAACATTTAGATGTTAATAAATTTTTATTTATTACAGATATTTTACATTACCACCAAAAACTTCATTCACTAATGAATCTGTAGAAATTGTAAAACAAGTTGGTGGTGAATTTGATATTACGAAGTTTGAAAAAGAAGAAAAAATGTTGTTTGAATCATTGGATAATATGGCAGAGGAAAATAAACTAGCTAATATGAATTCAATGTCCCTTTCTAGCGCTAACTCAGATGAGACAGCTTCTAACTCACAAAAAAAAGTATTTAAATACTTTTATTCAAATCGATTTTTTCATTACATTAAATAAAAATTTAAATATTAATTAAGATCATATTTTTCAGATTATCAAATTACAAAAAATAAATGAGAAAGTGAAAAACAATTCAGTAACTTCGAGCAAAAGCGTGCAGACAAAGAAAGGCAAAGATCTGCTTTCAGAAATTGAAGGAAATCAGCAATTGAATAAACTTAATAAACTCTACTTTAAGAAACAAAAGAAAGAAAAAATAAGAAGAGGTAAGAAATTTTATTGCTTTCAAAGTTTGATGGTTTCCGATAAATATTAATTTTCATTTTATAATTTTTAGATAAACAAACGACCAAATTGGCTGATCAGCTAGAAAACTTCTCTATGGGGGATGGTTCTGATAATTATAATTTTGATACAGATTTTAATATGGATAAATAATCAAATGTTTTATATTAACTTTAAAAATAAATATTTTTTATTTCCATTGAATTTGTTGTAATTCTTTATATTATACGAAAAAAAAAAAAAAAAAATATATGCATTTATAAATTCAATTCTAGTAATTCAAAATGAATTTTTTTTTTCTAAATTACTTAACATTTCAAGTTATTAATAAATCCTCAAATTCAGAGATCAGTATTGATCTCCAACTAATAGTTATGAGTATATAATTTTAATCGCATAATTATGTGGAAAGATTTAAGTAGATCTTATTGGTGTTGTTTCTTATCTTAAAATTTAAGTTTTCAATATAATATGAAGATTTGGCGTTTTTAAAATCGAACAAAATGTCATATTTTTCAAATAGGCGTTCACGTGTATAGATGTCTGGTGTGCAACTTTTCGCTGTTAATTAGATAATAAACAATTAAAAATATGAAAACCAAAAAATTGTATGTTTCATCAATGAATTCTACACCCTAGCGGTTTCGACGACTCAGCGTAAACTCGGAGTTTACGCGGAGTTACTATGGAGTATACGGCCTCTCGGAGTTTAATCGGGGTAAAAGCGGAGTTTTAGAGGTGTATGCAAGGAGTATCGTCTGCAGTTACGACACGGAGTCACAGAAGTGTATTATTAGAGTTTTCGACGAGTTTTTTCGGAGTCGCTATGGTATGGAGTTTACCTTGCGTTTTTGTGTGCACACATTTATTTTTCTATTTGAATCCAGTTTTTTTTTTTTAATTAAAAGTGAATTTTATTCTTATGTTAGCAGTTCGTAAAAAACATTGTTTTTTTTAATGTAGTAATGACATTAAATTTAGCAGTCATTTAAAAATATCTTACTTTTTTTTTAATTAAAAAATCTGATGAAAATTAAATTAGCCGACATTTTAAAAATTTTTTAAATTAAAAAAATTTTTTTTTTAATGAAAAAATTATTTTAAAAAAATTGCATTTTTAATTTTATAAAATTTCTACGTGTGAAATTTTTATGCCATAATTTATTTGTTAGAAAAATTATTAAATGTCTGCTAAATTAATTTTCATTCAAAGTAAGCTGAACTATAATTAAAAAATCCTTGCATTTAATTAAAATTAATAACTAGACTATAATAGAATCTAATTATAAATAAAAAATAAATTATTATTTAATTAAAAAGAACTAATAAAATACAGTTAGTAATTAATTATTAAAAATTTTATTCTACACAACTCAATTAGTTTTGATTAGACAAACATCAGACAGTAACATATAAATCTAAATAAAATTACTCTGCTGATAATTAACAATAAACCAGAAAAGCTAATTAGAAGCAATTGAGGTATAATTATAAATAAATATTAGTCAAATTATATATAATATATGGATACTTTATAAAAGTAAAGAAAAGAATAGTAATGTAATTAATAGTATGTGGTAGGTGAGGTGCATAATCTCAGTGGAAGACAACAATGTGCGTTGTTTCACATAAATAATAATTTTCTCTATAAAGTCACAAAAGCACACTCCTTTTCTAAGGAAAATTTATGGCACAATAAAATACAAATAATTATTATTATGATACTGAAATTAACAGACATTTGTCAATCTTTTACGATGCTAAAATTAGCTGACTGAACATTTTTTTTTATTCTTCAATTAAATTACAAATAAAAAAATACTTTAACTAAATTGCACTTATAATTTTTTTAATTTCCGACTGAGAAATTTTTTTGTCATAATTTTTGTAATAAAAATTTTTAGATGTCGGCTAACTTAATTTTCATAAATTATTATTTAAAAAATTTGATAAAAAAATTCCGAGTCTAGAAATTAAAAAAAATTACAAGTGCATTTAAAAAAAGTATTTTTTTAAATAATTTATTTGTAATAAAAATAAAAAAAAAAAAAGTCAAATGTCTGCTGATTAAATTATCGTAAATAATTATATAATTACTGGCAAATATACAAAAAAAGGATCAAGTTGTATATTAATGATAAAAGACACCCGTCGAAAAATATAATAAATGCTTTGAGACATTTACGTTTTTGACTTATTTTCCGTCGAAATAATTTTTTTCTAACCCACTTAACGACGAAGTTTCAAAGCTCGTCGGTGAAACGTTCAATGTCATGGAGGTAGTCACCGTAGTCAGTGGCCTCGCTGCCTACGAATACGTCATGGTGCTCGAGGATTTCTTCAAAAGACAATCTATTGTCATGATCATCGTCAGACGCTGCGAATAAATGGTCTACTTCATCAGTCGCCAGGTCTCTAAAAATTTATTGATTAAACAATTTATATTAATTACTGGAAGGAGTAATTAATATTAATACTCACTCATTACTGGGAACAAGCCAGGCCAATATCTCAGTAGAATCTAATTTACCATCGCCGTTTTTATCATGCTCATGATCAAACTTATCTTTTTCTACGAGCAACCACTCTTTATTCTCATTCTTGGCTTTGACTCCAATGAACTCTTGGAAACTAATAAATCCGTCTTTATCGGTATCTTTTTCATCGAGAGCTTGCTCCAGCAGGAAAGGAAACATTCTTGGAGTCTCCTCAGGATGTGTGTAAGCTTTAAATTCTTGAGTATTTAAAAATCCGTCTTTATCTTGATCAGCCATGTCAAAAGTCGCCTTGTCATCGCTCACTAGTTTTTCATCTATAGCCAAATCTTCTGGATCGGAGCCGTAGGTGTCGTGTAAAATTTCCTCCCAGGTTATTCGGCCGTCTTCGTTTGAGTCTGCATCCTCCAGTCTATCTTTAGACTCTTCTTCAGTCAGCATGCTGATTGAAATTAAATTATTTTTTTAGATACATTTTTTTTTATTAAAAGAAAAAATTGGAAGGAAAAATTCTAAGTGTAATTTTTAAAAAATATTTTCCTTAAAATTTTTATTCATTAAAATAATCTATATTATTAAGAGAATAAGAAAAATTTTTAAAGATATAAAATCATCACGGTGTTACACTCATCAAGACCTTTCATTTGAGTACCTACATCAATTTTTCATATATTTTATATATATTTATATATTTTATACATATGTATATATGAAAAATATATAAAAAATTGATGTGGGTACTCAAATAAAAGCTCTTGATGAGCGTTACATCAGGATGAGTTAATATTTAAAAAAATGTCAATAATTAAGAAATTACCTTTTATCTTGTAAATTATTGACATTTTTAAAGATATAAGCTCATCCCGATGTTACTCTCATCAAGACCTTTCATTTGAGTACCCACATCAATTTTTCATATATTTATGTATATTATATATATATATATGAAAAATATATGAAAATGCATGTGGGTACCCAAATGAAATATTTTGATGAGTGTAATAACATCGGGATGAGCTTATATCTTTAAAAATGTCAATAGTTAAAAAAGTACAGTGCAATTTAACCAAAGTCATTATTTAATAAAGTAAAAATTTATTTATTTATAGTTCAAAAATCACGGCAGTCACATAATTAATAATATAAAAAAAATGTCACCTGAATGATCTTAAAATCCAAGCTTTAAGCTCATGCCTTTCAATAAATTGATCTCCATTCAAATCTATTTTATCTAATAAAATCCTCAGACGTTTTTTAGACTCAGCTGCTGGTAATTTGTCAAACTCCTCTGCTTCTTTGACACTTCCTAAAAAATTAATCAATAAGTAAAAATTATAAAAATGAAATTAATTAAAAATTACCCAAAATAGCTTCATGATCAAATTCATTGTGATGCTCTCCATCAACATAGTGATCACTGTCTCGGGGACTAAATGCTCCGTCTTCCAATCTTTCATTTCCATTGGTCTTGTGTTGATGACTTCTGATATGTGCCGAGGCAGCCTCGCACCTCGGTAATAATTGAACAACACAAACAACAACGAGTACCGTAAATATCCTCAGCACCATTTTAATGATTTTAATTACTTTATTTCTATGTCGATAAATAACTCCGTTTGAAAATAAATATATAGAAGTTATATTGACTTGACAGTTGTGAGTTTGCTTAACCTCCAAACGTTAAAATGACAGCTGGACCAACAATCGTAAGAGGGTGCTCGGGGTACTGCTTATTTTCATCAACCCTATATATATATATATATATATGACATGCGCATCTGAAAAATATAGTTTTTTATTATTGTTAATCTTTAATCATTAATTATTTTTGTTTATAATTTATTAACAAAGAAAAATTATGAATATACAGATTAATTTATTTTTTTTTATTGAAAAATTCGAGAATCTAAAATTAGTACACAGCTGTCATTTTTTTTTAAATGGAAATAAAAATTTGAATTTAGAAAATAAATTACAATTTAAAAAAAATGACAGCTGCAGCTGATTTCAATGAAAATTAAAGTAGCAGATATTTAATAATTTTTAGAATTTTTTTAAGAAATAAATTAGTGCAAAAAAAAAAAATTGTCATGTTGAAAATTTAGAATTTTTTAAAAACAATTTTTTATGACACTGAAGTTGACAGATATTAAAAATGTTTTTAGAATTTTATAGCAATTAAATAATTATAAAAAAATTTAATTAAAAAGTTCCACATGTGAAAATTTATAAAAATTACAAGTGTAAATTTTTAGAAGCATTTTTTTATAGTAATTAATTTGTTAAAAAAATTTTTAAAATTGACAGCTGACGGCTAACTTCAGTATTATAATTTTTTACAAAAATAAAATAAAACAATTGTTAAATGTCATCTGACTTGAGTATAATAAATTTTAAAATTTGTTTAAATTTAAACTTTTTCAAGGAAAAGCAAAAATTCATCAGATGTGTAATTTGAAAATTATAAAAAAGAAGATGATCATATTTATATACAGGATACTGGTAAGTATTGCATTAAAAGTAAGTAATAATAATAAAAAAATATTAATTATAATTATATATTGTATATTAAAAATGAAACTAAAAAATTTTTAGAGGAAACTATCTTGATGTAGTTGGCGGAACTAATTTTCACGTCTTATTAAACAATACGCACAAACCTGGAGCTGGAAGTTGCGGCATTAAGAACATAAACGCACTCAATGATAGTGATTAATGATAATGAGTAATTAGTAATTAAAAATCCAGGCTGAGCGGGTAGACTTGTTATAAATAAAGTGAGATTGCGTGATGAAGAACAACGAGGAATAGAAAACACACTCATGTAGACATGATGAGCATGAGCTTTATCGGGAGTTACTGGCAAGTTATTCCTCGGTACTCAGTACTCGGTTACTCACATGCTCCAAGGTCTGGATCCGGTACCTTAACTACACAGCGAAACTTTTATTTAACGAGCAGAGTCGCTTATCCTTACAGAGTATGTAAGCCCACGAATTCTCAAGGCACCGGGTTCAAGAATAGAATTAATGCGACATGTCTAACAGCATTTCGGATAAATTTGGACTCATTCTAACTTGGGACAACTTGTTTTAGTTTTATTGCAAATTCTTTTTATACTCCATTTAAATTTTTAAGTGTTAATATTAAAATTTAGATTAAAGAGAATATTTTGTAGCTTTGAAAGTTTAATTTAATAAATTTAATAACTTTTTAGATTGAATGACAAAATGAAATATTGGAAAATATTTTTAATTTATTATTAAAGTAAAATTGATTTAATGCCGTAAAAATGGCGATTATTTATTAAGAAGAAATAAACTTTTACACTGGTAGCGATAGAAAATAGAAAACTGTTGAAAGTGATCGATAATGATTAATATTTTCCGTCTCTTTCAATTACTCGGGTCATTTTTATAATATTTTTCAAATACTCAGATAAATTCTCTGCATACCTAAAAAGTTGCTCCAAAAAAGCTGCACTGAAAAAAAAATTAACTTGATTCAAGAACATTTTTTTTTTCTGTGGCGCTTTTTACTTGATTTTAATAACTAATTAAATTATTATTCTTCTAGTCTTGTACTGTAATTGTGTATTTTAATTATTTTAAATCTATCCTACTCTCTGCTAATTGAAATAAGGATTGTATATCCTATAAATTAATAGTTTTATAAAAAATAATTATTTTCATACTGAAGAATATAAAAAAAAAAATAAAATTGTCTCGCCGCAATTTTTTGAAAGAAGAAATAAAAAATTTTTGATAAAGAAGATCTCAAGTTATCCTCTGTAACTCTAAACCATGTAGTGGTGTATCAGATACTCGATATTTATAATAGAAATATTAAGAGTTCATGAGAGAAGACTACTTTTTAAAATGTAAATTATTATTTATAATTTTTTTAATTTATTACAGGATAAATAAATAAGAAATTAACACTTAATTTTGATAAAAATTTCTTGAAGATAAGAACAATATTAAATGAAAACAAAACAATTAAAAAATAATTTTTGTAAGCAAAATATAATTAAAAAATGAATTTTATGAATGAAAATAATAAAAGAAGAGTATGCAATTAATTCAATCAGATTAAATTGTTAAGAAACACTTTCCGAGACTGATAATTGGTATTATTATTTTGATGGAACAAATTGCAACAATATTAAATAATTTATAACGATCTCCATTACATCCAGCTCAACAAATATATAATAATAATATTATTATTATATTTTATTATTTAAAACCACAAATGAATTTATCTTGAGCACTAATCGGAGCGTTTTTAAACGAGCCAACGCCGTGGAAAGAAAGGAAGCTTCTGAAATCACCGTACGGTGTTAAATCACCGGTGCGTGAACCAAGGGGGTTTCATTCCTTCATATAAATAAATTTATAAAAAATATATAAATACATATAGGTATAGAAGCGACACAGGATGTTCCTGTCTTCCGTGTTTGTCGCACTCCTGAAGCGAGAAGTCACCTCCTCTAGATAATACCTCATCAAAAATGCCGCACCGCCGAACAATGACGAGATTTTGTGTCAACCATAAACCATTCATAACGCACAACGCCGTAATTTTTATTTCAAAACAAACATCTTTAATTCCAGCTCATCGGTAAATAATTCCCCGTTTTATTTCGCTATTTCTTCTTGTCGTAAAACTCTCACGTATGCCACTAAATAATTAGCGCTAATTTTTTTCTTAATTAATTAGTGAATACAGATGCGTGTGACCAGCTTCCTCAACGTCCAGCTTCATACACACGTGGTTTTGCTGGAAAAAAAAAAAAAAAAAAAAAAAAAAAAAAAAAATGTATTATATGTACGCATAATGGAAGCAATCTAAAATTTATGGTTCAACTAATTTAATTATTTCGACGTGGAATTAAAAGTGTGAAGCCGAGCGATACAAGTTATCTTTTTTAACCGTGACACTGGCCTCACACTCATACCTGCTATTGTTATTATTATTATTTTTAAATTTACAATATATTCTTTTTTAGATAATTTAAAAAATAATTATATAATTAGATATTGATAGAAAAATCAAAATAAAGCTATTAAAAGCCGGTGAGTCAATTCTGGAAATTTGTAAAGACTATAACTACAAAATAACATTATTAATTGATCTAATTTTTTTTTTATTGAGTAAAGGATATCTAATAGAATAAGATTCTTATTGAAAATTGTTATTTAAATTATTCTAGTTTTTTTATAATCCTCGAAAAGCAAAATAATTTGGTAATTATTACATTTTTGGCCATATCTAGGTGAAAAATTAACATTTTTTAATTTTTTTTTGTTTTTACGGCGCATTTAAGATAAAAAATGTCGTAAAAGAAAAAAAATAAAGATTTCAATAGCATTTTTGCTTTCAAAAGTTGGAAAAAATTTTGGCGTTCAAGTTTTTGGATAAAATTTCTATTGTATCTTACTTTGATTTTTTTTTTTGAAAAGTACTTAATAAAAAAAGTACAATTAAAAAAAAGTAAAGTTTAATATCAGAATTTTTAAAAAAATTTATAAATTTTTTGAAAATTTGTTAAAATTGTGATAATCAACTTTTTTTTTTTTAAATTGTCCATTTTTTTATGTATTTTTCAAAACAAAAAAATATATCTGTAAAATCAAATAGAAGTTTCGTTCAAAAAAATGAAAATTAAAATAATTGGCCCCATTTTTGGCCATAACTAGGTGAAAAATTAACATTTTCAAATTTTTTTTATTCTGCTTGTTTTTATGATCAAAAATATCGTGAAAAAAAAAAAAAAACAAAGATTTTAATAGCTTTTTTGCCTTCAAAGTTTGGAAAAAATTTTGGCTCATGTTTTTGGATAAAATTTCTATTTTATCTTTTTTTGATATTCTTTTTTTTTAAAAAGTACATAAAAAAAATGAACAATTTAAAAAAAAGTTAAATATCACAATTTTATACAAAATTTATAAATTTGTTAAAATTGTGATAATCAATTTTTTTCTTTTAAATTGTTCATTTTTTTATGTATTTTTCAAAAAAAAATATATTAATAAAATCAAATAGAAATTTCGTTCAATAAAATGAAAATGAAAATTGTAAATATTTACCAATAATTTAAGCTTAAATTGTAAGAAATTACAAAGATTTAAAACTTATTTTTTTTTCTTATAGCTTGTTGAGTAATGTACGCGCTGGTTAACCCATTTAAAAACGCTGAAGACATACAATGTAGAGAAAAAATGTATTATCTAGAGAAAGGCTGAGACGTAGATGGAGTAGAGGTAAAAAATGAGTTTGGTGCGCTACAATACTAAAATAAATTCCAAGAAAGAGGTATTCACAACAATGAATACGTCTCGGTAGCGGTTATTAGTCATAGTGCAATGGTTTAGCGGCACTCTGCAAGACTGCTTCTGCCCTTATTATTTTTATTTTATTTTTAATCATAATCACGTTCGTTTATTACCGAAGGGCTTTGCTTTGGAGATCGAAACTATGCTAATTATCAATTATTTGCTTTATTCCAGGCTGTGTGTTTTAAAAACATTTTCTCCTGGAGCTCCAACGTCAGGGCGAAGGGTAAG